TTTTTTTTTTTTTTTTTTTTTTTTTTTTTTTTTTTTTTTTTTTCTCATTCTTTCTATCGCAATTTTAATAATTTAGATATAAATAAATATCCAAATGAGAGATTATTTCAGTTTGGTAAGCACGGTCAAAAAAAAATTTAATAGTTACTATATGTACTTTTTTTCCTTTTGCAGGTGAGACTTGAGTATCCGCTACTAGTGTGAAAGAGTTAGTTGGCTATAGAACCTGTTAGGTTAGAGTCTAGAGTAAACTCAAAAATTTTCGTTGTGTCATTATTATATTTTATAGCATCGTTTTTTCATACCAAAATTTTAGTTGTAATGTATTTGCAACCTTCCAGTTTTTATTAAATGTAATTTCGTCCGGTCCCTAAATATTGTTTTTATCATGTTTGTTTTAAAAAAAAAAACCTTTTGTTTCTTTTCATTTTTTCATTTCTCTTTAAATGACATCTATCTGAAGAGAGGTCACAGATTGTTATGTAAACTAATAAAAACAAAAACAGTAATTAAAAAATAAAAAATTTATAATTGTAATTAAAATTTAATAATAATAATAAAGAAAACTCTTGGGGTTTAGGTATCCTATTAATAAATAAATAAATAAAAACAATCAAAATCTTACCGAAAAACACAAAAGATGTTAACCAACAAAGTGTAATACTTTAGGACAAAAATTAAATTAAAAAGTTAAAATATTGTTTAATATCTATTCTAAGTATTATTCTATTTTAGTCTTAATGTATTTTTAGTTCTATAAATAATATTATTAGTTCTATAAATAACATTATTAGTTCTTAGCAAAAAAAATTCTCTATTGATCTTTCTTTATAGATTTTTAAAATATATTCATACAAAATTTTTCCAAAAAAAAATTATTATTATTTTATAAACTTGGATAAAAATACATGATATAACAAACTATTTTTGTTACTATAATAAAGTCACTACTGATGTGACAAACATTCATTAAAAATGTTTCATAAAAAGTGTCATGAATTTAATGTTTAAAAGTAAATTCTTTAAAACGTAGTAATCATAAATAACAAAATTAAAAATAAATGACATATATTAAATAAAATAAACAAAACCTACACTAACCTAAGGGTTACTATACAGAAATTAAAAAAATGACATAAATTAAATAAAATAAACAAAACCTTATGGATACTAATAACCGCGCCGCTCAAACTTACCACTAACAGATATTGTTTTAGATTTCAACACCTTTTTAAAAAAATTCATTCCCCTATGGGATTTCACATTCTTCTCTCTCTAATTGATGTGACATCTCATAATCCACTCGCTTCAAGTGTGACATCTCATAATCCACTCGCTTCAAGTGTGACATCTCATAATCCACTCGCTTCAAGTGTGACATCTCATAATCCACTCGCTTCAAGTGTGACATCTCATAATCCACGCGCTTCAAGACCAGCATCCTCGCTAGTACACCACCCGGTGTCTAGCTTTGATACCATTTATAACGGCCCAAACTCGCCAGCAGATATTGTCCTCTTTGATTGATGTGAGATCTCATAATCCACCCCCCTCGGGGGCCCAATGCTCTCACTGGTACACCGCCCGGTGTCTAGCTTTGATACTATTTGTAACAGCCAAAACCCAGACAAATATTGTCTTATTTGAGATTCCCCTTTCGGGCTTCCTTCAAGATTGTTAAAACGTGTCTATTAAGGAGAGGTTTCCAAACCCTTACCAGGACTACTTTGTTCCCCTCTCCAACCGAGATAGGATCTTACACCACTTGTCAACCTAAACCTAAGCATAGATCAAAAGTCAAAGTTTTCCATTCTCAACAAAAACATAAGGGGAAATGTGAAAAGTAAAGGTTGAAAATATCAGCATAAACCATACAGTACAGCAGAAAACAAATAAATCCATTCAACAAACTATGAGGAAAAAGTGATCCGGCATGAAAGAAAAAACAAACAAGTACAAATAACGTAATAATACATTCAGATATGTTGCAGCTGCCTTAGAACTGATGTTGGAGAATATTCCAAACTCCAAGCACATTATAAGAAGCACAAGAAGCCTGACAAACTCCCAATGGTATTTATGTGAGCATTAATTAAGTACACAATTCCCCAAGGTCCACCGGGCAAGACAATGGGAGACATACATATGCTCATGGGTGATGTCAATTATAAAATGGCAGAGCAGCATTGCTTTGAATTCTACTTGGATTCACAATTTCAGGATAAAAATTCACTACCAATGCCACAGATCAATACTCGTTTTTAACTCTTAAAGGAACATTAAAAAAAACTAAGAAAAAAGAGAATTATTGTACCTACTCAAATACAGAGGATTTAATCATATCGCACTTGGAAAATAATACGGAATCAATAAATGATAGATTTCCTGAGAACCATGAAAATCAGCACTACCATTAGAACTCACCCTGAGCCAGTCAAGTTCGACGGAGGTTGAAGATTCAATTGCACCAACACAAATGTACTGATCCAACGGCCAGATCATTGGACGGCGACTGGAATCTCCACTGCAAACGCCGATAGAGCCCAATCGGCTACCGAATGCGATCCCGCACGCAGCCGGATCGCCCAATGACTGATTAGTATAATGATATGATATTCGAAACTGGAACCTCCCTCGATAACGAAGATACACAAAAAGTATTCAAATGTTTAGAGTCGAAGGCACGCGGCTGCTCCCTAACCTTCACCGCCGTTCATGGAATGGAGAAGAATAAGTAGGCCTCGCGTACTAAATAAGACCGTAAAACCCTAGCGTATTTCTCTACCAGAAAAGGAAACTTTTTTTAATTTTAATTTTATTTTTTATTTTTTATAAATATTGTTCAAACTTTCAAATTTTTAATAATATCTTTAAACTAAAAAAACTCAAAAATACCTTTATTTCTAATTATTTAGAATTATTTTTAAAATTTTTTTAGATTAATTTTCTCAACCAAAAACCATTTATATCTATTTTTAAACTTTAGAAATTATTATTTCAAGATACTAAAAATGTATTTTTTTTAAAAAAAGAGATCTATCATTGATAAATAAAAATACTCATTAACTTTCCTTTACTCTGTTTTTTTTTAGGAAAATTGTTATCATTTTATTTCAAAATTATCTTTTAAATGTTTTTAAAATATCTGTCATATTTTAAAAGCTTTACTCAAATTTTATGTTATTATTATCCACATCCCCATATCATTTTTCATTTTTTTTTCTCCTCTCCCATTTCAACAAATGACTCATTTTCCAAAAATGAGAAAGCTCTTCATTTTTATTTAAAATTATAATATTTAATAAGAAAGAAAATGGAGGAAGGAAAAAATATATGAAATGACAAAATATTGAGTGTAATAATTCATGCCTAACATTCGAAATCTAGATTTGACACTTAATAGCACCGATATTTTCTTATCCCCATAGACTGTCTTTTGTTTCTAAGTGTGAAGACTATCCCCACAAACCGTCTTTTGTTTCTAAGGGTGAAGACTATCCCCACAAACCGTCTTTTGTTTCTAAAGAGTGAAGACTATCTCCACAAACCGCCCACAAACCGTCTTTTGTTTCTAAGAGTGAAGACTATCCCCACAAACCGCCCACAAACCGTCTTTTGTTTCTAAGAGTGAAGACTATCCCCACAAACCGTCTTTTGTTTCTAAGAGTGAAGACTATCCCCACAAACCGTCTTTTGTTTCTAAGAGTGAAGACTATCCCCACAAACCGTCTTTTGTTTCTAAGAGTGAATACTATCTCCACAAATCGTCTTTTGTTTCTAAGAGTGAAGACTATCCCCACAAACAGTACTTTGTTTTTAAGAGTAAAGACTATCTCAACAAAGGTCTTTCAACATGCTTTGTCTCTACTTACATGTTTTCTACAAATTTTTCCAAGAAGTCATCATTTATAATTACTCTAGATAGTATGGATAGTAACTTTCACATTTTTTTAGTTTTTATTACGATCCTTTTAAGTTTTTCCTAGTCCTTTTATCCTTAATATCACTCTTATCCAAATGTGGTGGTCTGAATTCATTCATGTACTACTCCTTTACTTGGCGTTACATGTCCACAAATTTTTGCCTTGGTTCATCCCCAAACTACAGGGAGAGATACCACTTTAATATTATTTGTAATGACTCGTGCCCTGAATTCAAAATATGGATTCAAAACTTCCGACATGACACGTTACTTACTCTCTTCTAAAAGTGAAGACTATCTCCACAGATTCATACGAGTCCTTCTACCATGATTTGTCCTCACTCATGTGCATCCTAAAAAGAATTTAAGGAGGTCACCCAACATAAAATTCTTTCAAGCTAAACACACTTAACTTGAGCCAAAGCTTATCTTGCATACTGACCCATGTACCAATGTTTTTCTTTTTGTAAGGATAATTTTCACTTTTAAAAGTTGTAGGGATAATTTTCACTTGTAAAAGCGAAAAGCAATATGATCATGTCGTTGAGAATGTCGAAGCTATCAAGTGTCAAACCCAAATTATAGATATAATCAATTAAAAGTTTAATGACCGAAAAAAATGTGCAAGACACAAGATTAAAAATTTAGAAATTTACTACACACATTTTAATGTTTAAATACCAAATACATACAAAACTAAAAGTTTAAACACTAAATTTAAATTTATAGTATATAGTTTAGATATATATATATATATATTATGCATTTTATTTATAAATGGCGTTTTTCATATAAATGTATTTTTTTTTTTCAGTTCTCCTACCACCACTATGCTAAAAACTTGCTAGATATTGAACTGTTGATATTAATAACAAGAAATAACCATTGGAATTCAATATATTAATCAAACACTTAAAATTTATGAATTTATTTCATTAAAAAAATAAAAATAAAAAAGTCATTAGACACTTTTACCGTTTAAAGGCTTATTAAATTCAATTGAAATAGATGAAATTTAAAACACGTAATTTTAAAATTTTTTTTTATAAATAACTTAAAAACAAGGCATTTAGTATTATCTAAATTAAGTTAATCAAATTATTTACAATAAAACCATTAATTTAACTACGCCAAATTTTAATTAATCAAATTATTATTTTGATTTTGACTAATTAAAATCAACTATTCCCCAGAAGTCAGTTTTGTTCAAAATGTCTCCTATTCCTAAATATTAAAATTATATTAATTTTTCAAAAAAAATTAATAAATCATTACTTACGCGTTAAACCCGGGTGATCACGCATCCGAAAGAAACGTACCTTCAACTGCTTCTTCAAGAACCTTTGCTTACAAAAATCTGGCATACCATAAGCTTACATCCATGAACTAAGAACTCGTTTGCTTGCTTGCTTGCTCCCACGCTTCAAACTAAAAAGGTAAACAAAGTTAGTTACGTAACTAAATTACCTGTCAAAAGCCCACCCAGAAACCAATATCTGTATCCAACAATTTCACATTAGAATCATTATGTTCATAATAGTCGTAATAAAACCTGCACCCAATCCGAGTCTGGCTAGTCTAAGAAGGTTGAACAAAATGTATAATAAATTAAAATAGAAAACCATTGTAATCATGTAACCAAGAAGGTAACAACACGGATTGCCAAAGATATGTAAGATGCTAAATATACATTTGTACCTTGGAATTCAGATCTGTAGTTTTTCACTGCCTTCGTTGTTTATATTTATGGACACGATTATCGTTTGGCTCGCAAACCATTTGCCGATGATGATCTTGAGTGAGCGCATTGTGCTTAGAACCTCTCGATAAGTAACCTCTCGATCTGGGAAAGCTTTGTTCTAAATCAAACTTTGAGTCGGTAGGATGCTTCTTTGTTTGTCGCTTTAAGTCGAACTCGACCATATTGGTTTTATCTTCTTTCAATTTGCATTTTTTGTGGTGATTCGAGCTAAAATGACTGCAACATTCATCTGTCCTCCCACCAACCTCCCGGAAGCTTCTATGGTGATGTTCAGACCTCTCCTTAGTCAGTAATTTGGTGTTGCAAGGCAAGCCTTCTGTGTCCAGGCCAAATCTCCCGTTGAATTGATTGATCATAGCATCTTTAGAAGAACGGGAACTCTTCCTTTTTTCGTCATACAGCCAATTTATTTCGTCGTTGGCAGTTTCTCGATGCGGGTGTTCCTTTTCTTCGAGCATTCTATAGTCTCTTGATCTTCCATCCCACTCATGTAGACCTCTATTCTTAGCAACATTATCTTCTCCCTCGCACCCATCCTCATTGATGAAAGTCATTGCCCTGAAGAGTTAAAAAAACTCACGTTAAAGAAATAGAAACAATGATAATTAGCAATGAAAAGAATTCTCAACTCCTCTAAACATGCTCCAAATCCCAACATAGGGCTAGGTTTTCAGCAAGGGATGTTCCTGATTACCAAACAAAAGAAATGCTAAAATTCAAAACAATGTGTTCTGAAAAAGTTTCAGGTGTTTTGGGAAAGCCTAGAGGACTAGGCTTTCAGCAAGGGATTAGAGGACGTTGATAATAACCAAACAAAAGAAATGCTCAAAATTGAAAATAATGTGTTTTGGAAAATTTCGAAAGCTTTCCGAAAAAGCCTAGAAGTGGAATTTAAATATGCACAACGAAAATATTTTCAATGTTAAAATATTTTCTACCTATTTATTTTGTGAGTTCAAGATTTTAGTTCTTTCTTCTGATTTCAGCAGACTCAATGTGCACGTGGAACTACAAAGCCGCACAAGTGCAGTGTTGAGTCATTTCCAATCACAAAATTAGATAGGGAAACTAAGAAAAAAAAAGTTCCACGTGTATTCAGCTAATAATCTATCTCATCATCAATGAATTAGAAATATAAAAAACGAATACTGCCCTCTCGAAAAGGATAATAAACTTCCATGAACTTTCTGTTTTTCCATGGCAGTGATATGTTACGAGTGCTAGCCAATATATAGGCCTAAGAGAAGAGGATACAGAATTATTTATCACACGTTGTTTGGTATCACAAAATAGTAAAAGGATTACCTCCTGGTACGATTATCAGGTATCATCCCTCTTTTATTAGTGTCACTGACGTCTATGGATTGTGAATAACCACCGCAGAACTCTTCAATCTTCCGGAGTGGTGGAGCAGTCATGTCTCTCATGCCCACATATCCACTGCAAGGTCAAAAGTGAAGACATGTTTGGGTTAATTGTTCTCCAATTTTCAAAAATCAACGTTCTAACCACTAAATTCGTTCAAATGAGCTTCTAACACTACCAGAACTCTGGTTGGGCACATTCTATCACGTGACTTTGTTAATTTTTACTTATTCAACTATTATTATAAAACAAACAGATAATCATGTTCTCAGACACTTCATTTAACATAGAGTCCAATTTACTCAAACTAATTACCCGGCCACTTCATTTAAAATTGACAATATGAAGCAAAGTTATACCATATTTAACACATCCAGTTAGATTTCTCTGCGTGTAACTAATAAAACACTTGTTTTAGGGACCAATTTAAACAATTTCTCAAGCTTCGTAGGTAAATGTCATTGAAACGTAGTGACCAATATATATTGTTTCTCAGACTTATTTATGAGAAGTAAATTCATTAATTGAATAAGTTTACAAACAGATGGGGGGGTATATAAAACGGCATTCAAATTGGAACAAATATAGAAGCAACAGTTCCAAAAAACTTTTGAACCAGAGCCTCAAAGAGAAGCTAAAAAAGAAATGCTACCCCAAAATTATGCATAATAATCTTGAACACATTGGAAGATTATTCTATTTCTCTCTAACCAAAAATGTATTCTTATATGCAACGTTAAAAACCCACAAACATTGAAATTTACCTTGGGGCTGGATATCCACCATAAA